AACGACGGCCGTACCCTGCAGTTCACAGACTTCAGGTCCTTCCAGAGCTGAGCGTCACCTGTGAGAGCACCATGTCCCCAACCTTCAGATGCACAAATTTGAGGGCTGTCAGCTCTGGCCTCCCAGTTAATTCCAGCTTCTGGGTTCAAGCACAAGGCAAAGGGACGATCTCTCTGAAATGTTTTGAGACTGGATGTGTTGGCAGAGAGACTGGCTTTTTTGTGATTTCACTGAGAAACCAGATGAAACCTGCAAGCGTTAAGGAGAGGTTGAATTTGATCCTTTCAAAGCACTTTGGCAAAATGATAGTTTTAGTGGGACTGCAGCTTACGCTTCTTTTTCAAAAGGATCTAGGTAGCTACCGTTGTGCTTTACTGGTAACTTTAGGGTGACATAGGTTTGTCTCACCTAAAATGATGGTTGCTAAATCAAACTTACAAAAGTGACCTGGATATAAACTGATATAGCAGTGTTTGTACAAGTTTGTAGGAAACAGAAATATTATGAGATGTGAGCTTTCCACCTGTTAGGTAAGGATTCTGAAGCTTAGCTTCAGCTTTTTTGAGCTGCCATCAGAGCAAGGAGGGTCTGCACAGTTTATTGTGAGTGGTATTATATTAGCAGCATCACATTTGTATGACTTCTGCACCACAGCAAGTGCTTTACAGAATACCAACCGATTATGTCATCTAGTTTGATTCCTTGATTCATCTTTCAGTTGCTTTTTTTAGTTCTGGGCTCTTTTGAACTTGAAATGGGGAGCTGAACTATCAGAGTGGTGCAAAGTTTGAGTATAGTTTGCAGAAAACACAACTGAAATCACAGCATTAAGAAGAGAAATTCCAACTGATATACATTTGGTAGTTTTCCTTAAGTAGTTTTTTACTTCGCAGTTGAATGGCTCAATCTCTCTGCCAAAAGCATAACCCAAGGGTCCCCTGGATCTCCAAAGCAGCGGTGAATTTGCCAAAAGGTCAGCTGGGATGTCAGTCTTAGATATGAAAACACAGTTCCCTGTTTAGGATGGAAAGAGCTGGAGACATCCCCCACCCCCCCAGGACCCTTGCCTCCTGTGAGAAAAGTCATGATACATCACAAATGTGAGTGATATATCTTTCTTCTTCTGACAGTTGCAAAACTTAAAAGCAGTGATTTGAGGAGGGGTGATACATACTGCTGGATTGGCCTTCCCCAGTGTAGCACACATCTATTCTTCCAGTGTGTAGTACATAGCTTGTTACGGTTCTGTGCAGAATGATTTCTCTGCATGGCCAGGTGATGTTTAAGGAGACTAATGAGAGAAATGATACGGCCCAGAACACTGGTGTCAGGAAATATATTGCAAGGTGTCTATCTTGGGGAAGCTGAAAGCGGGGCTTGTCTTATTATATATTTCAAAGGGGATGTCTGTGTCACCACCAAGTTAGACATGCACCCTGTCCCATATTGCATTCAAATTAGATTTTTTCCAATAGTAGCTTTCCATTCAATTTTCATTGGATTAATGATAGGCTCTGTGTTGTACGGGGGCAAAACAAGAGTCCGTTGCATTGGCACGCCATTCTTTTGAAGCGGGAACTTGTTTCTGAGGCCATTGTAATATAACTATGCAAGTGTCAGAGGACAGGATAGAGGCTATTATGGGCTTCTGCTTTTTGTGAGGAAAATCAAACAAATGTCCCCAATGGAAAAAGGAAGCCAGCAGCTGTATGTGATGTCCAGCGAATGTTTTTGTGCAGTGACACTGTCACTACCTGGTCTGCTGTCAAACTGAAAAAAAATACCTTTTTTTTTTTTCCTGCTGTCAAACGAAGTGGAGAAAACCCCCGTGAATTTTCATGAGACACCTTTTCCTCATTTCCAGCACTTAACAATCCAATTATATTTGTTTTTATGCTAGTGTTTGTTTGCCTCTATTGCCATTGTTAGGGTTTTGAGTCAGAGTGATTTTTTCATCCTGATGGTGCGGAAGAAAAATATGTTTCATTATGACTGTTATAACCCTGGAAATCTTTTCTCTCGCTTGGGTTGATGACGATTTTTTATGTTGCATTCTATACTGATGCCTAAAGTGAAGTAGAATGAACCATAAGGAAGAGAAGCTTTGCTAAAATATAGCTCCTTCCACTGTGTAGAATTATCTGGAAAAAAAGCTTGCATCTTTCTAATTTTATACATCCCCCCCCCCCATTATTCAAGTAGTTTTTACAAATGAATGGTGTTTTTGTAAGGATTGTTTATGAAGCCATTGCTCTTAGCAACCCCTGCTCACCTGTAAACAACTTACATGGCACAAATAAGGCATCTAGTTGTTTCTCAGTAGGGTGACCTTATAAACAGATTCTGCAACAAGACAAGCTTTTAAATTCCTAACCAAATATATTATGTGAGTAATAAAAAGAGCTCCTCAAAATGGCCACAGAGGCATTTCAGAGCACATTCTTGGGAATAGTCACTTGTGCTAGCATTCATTAAGTTTGCTTTCAGCAAAAATTCTCATGAATGAAATTTTATTCACTAGTCATTATGATTATTACTTTACTATCATAGCAATAACCAGATGCTTTGTATAAGGCTGGGACCTGATTTTGTCTAAGGCTGGAGAAACATCTTACAGGGTCTCCAGAGAGTGTATTGTCTAAATATAAGACCAGACTAAGCTAACAGCTCGTGACTGGGAACTGCAAACTCTCAGAGAGCAATGGGTTTGTTTACAAGAAAATTCACAGCTAGAGAAGGATGAATGCAGAACCATACCAAATGTTACACCATTTGAACTGTAGCATGTTACAATTCTACTGAATATGAATGTAATTATATATTTTTATGTTACGAAGGTAGTTTAGGTGATGATGACTGGTCTTAACGGATAAAAGGGAGTATCTCTATGGATCCAGTTTGTTACTATACTGGACTAGTTTATCCACACAGTAATGAGCACACTGGAACTGGACTGTTTTGGGGTTGTTTTTTATTTAAAAAATGGCCTAACCCAAATATATGTACCATACCACAGGCTATGCCAAAGAGTTGGAGTCTGAGTTGTGCAATACATGGACTCCCACAATGTGAATAAAGCCCTTCCTGGAAAAGTTAAATGAGATTTTTAGCTATGCACAGCTGAAGTATGCATGAAGTCTTGTTTCCTCCAAACTAGAGGAACATAAAAGAGCAGAGGTATTCTATCATGCTGGAGGAGCAGGGCACTTGCAGCTTTTGGCTTGCTGTATTAGAAATGAGAGACCAAGGAAGCGTGGCCAATTTGAATATGGAAGTTGTGCCTAAGTCTAGGCGCTAGGAAATATTTTCAGAGCTGGAGCTGATCCGCTGAGCACAATGTGTATAATGTTGCTTTGTATGCCTTCGCTTGCTGAGGCAAAAGCATGAATCCTGTGCCTTAGAGGTGATGCGGTCTGACTGGTCAATTTGTAGAGTCCATCAGCATGCAGTGACCGGCACTGGCTACTATCTGGAGCATTGATTCTTGGGTGTACCGGGGCGCAAGATGCACTGTGGTCATGGGTACAAGGCGCATAATGTACACGTGCAAAATGAGAAGGTTCTGTGGGGTGGAGGGAAAGAGCTGTTAAAGAGGCAGTGTGCCAATCCCTTGTATTACTCAAACCTCAAAATAACCATTCCTCTCTGCCTGTGGATCAGTCAGAACAGTTTGTTGGCAGCAGAGCTAAGCACAGGACACTTAAGTATTTCTCCTTTTTTGTTGTCTCACTGCCTTCTTCTCCCATGTCTTGTGAAAAAAAATAATCTGATTAAGTCCTTTGACATTAATAATTAATTAGTCCTTCCTTACTTTATCTTGTTTGCCTGTCCTTTTCTCTGGCTTTTCCTTTTTCTACTTTATCTCTCAATCATCAGATCCAAGAAGTTATTCAAATGATTTCTTTTTAACAGATAAATGCAGCTTTACAGCATTTTTTTCTTTTGAAGAAAGACTTGGTCCCTTCTTTTGTCCATCCCACTGCACAAGTTTTCACGTTCTGGCACTGCAGTCACTTCTAAGTCCTTGAGCTATCATGTATTCTGTTGGTATTTGAGGAATTGAAAATCAATCACATAGCCTTATGGCTTAGGTTCAGCACAATTCTATTATGCCCACTCCCAAAAGTCAATTCAAACCTTTTGGGTTATATTTCAAAGCCTAATCAAGCTTGCTGTCCAGACTGGTTTGGAGTCAACTCACTCTTGTCCATAGGTCTGTTTATTAGAGTTTTTCTGTCAGAAACTAGTGTGAAAGAAAGCAGTTTTCATAACAGTGGAATCATTCAGTGGGCATTTTGCAAAGACAAGCCACCCAAACAGGTTTTATGGTAGAGGAATGCTTTCTGTTGTACTGCATTTCTGCAAATATGTTTAAAAAAAATTTTTTTAAAAAAAGCTATGTTGGTACAAGTGTTCATAACTGTAGTGTCTCATAAAAAAGATGCACCAATTTACTGAGATCAGTTTCTAGTCCTGTCTTGTTAAGCTGGTACAGAAAATATTGTAGATGCAGCCCTAAACCGAGATGGTGACTTTCATGCTTTGGACCATGTGAACAAATGAGGATGATACCTCCGAGCAGATGGGCCAACTCCTCCAAGCATGAGTTGTGCCACCTCCACTTGGCAGGTGGACATAGGACCGCACAGGGACTATGTCAATCCCCTTATTTCCAGCAAGTGCCAGGAACTCACCCTGAGAATGAAAGCAGCTCTGTATGGAGCTGGCCATTAGCAATCCTCTGTGAAAATATGTACCTGTTATGTACTGGGGACAGATCAGTCTCATCCCACTGGGAAGAAAGCAGTGACAGGCTCTTAGTGATGGCATTTCTAGCTGACCTGTAGAAGTCTCCTTGTTCAGTGAAAGGCTGGTGGCCATTCTGTGGGAGCCAAGTGGGCAGTATAAATAGGAAACGGCTCTCTCCTTCCATCCCCCGTGGGTAAAGGCATTGCTCTGTGACCCATTCTTCATGCTTCTTCTCATCCTGTATTCTGCAGAGGCGCAGAGATTTTCTCCAGTGGATGCTCGACTCCCGCGACTCAGCTGACTCCCTGGCAGCCGGCTATTTGGATGTGATGAATCCATCTGCTGCTTCCAGCCAGAACGAGGTGCCTCTTGCTGGCAGGGCCCCGTCTGAAAAGGTTCAGAAGACATTAACAGAGGATGAGATAGCAGGCCAAGCTTTCCTCTTCCTGATCGCTGGGTACGAGACCACCACTAGCACGCTGTCCTTTGCCACGTACTTGCTAGCCACCAACCCAGAGTGCCAGGAGAAGGTACTTCAGGAGGTTGATGAGTTCTCAGCAAAACACGTGAGTACAATGTGCTGGTGTGGAACTTCATGCAGGGAGCAAAGCAATGTGAATGTCGTCATGCCACTGCGGCACCCGCATGAACCCTATTTTTCTCAGTTACATATGTATATATTAACATTTTATTAATATTTTCAGCCAAAAATTCAAAATTAATCTATATTGTTTAGGTTTTTTTGGAAACTGTTAAATAATGTCACTTTACAGCAACTGAAGAGACGGCCCAGAAACTTTGTGTCACAGTGAAAGCTTAATCTTTACAAAATATTTTACAGTATTGAAATAAACCAGCTCTCACTGGACTCTAAAACTACACATTCTATTTTTTTCCTCTTGTCCAGATACTTTTATTGGTTTTGTGGTCAATTTTATTTACTGACCTTTGTAAGGACATAAACAGCGTTCTTACAAACTATGAACTGCAAAGTTTTGCTTTAAATGTTCATACTTCATTTTTTTTCTTCAGCAGCAGAATATATGTGTATGCTTCAAAAAAAATCACAATATCTAATTCCCTTATACTTTGCTCACATTACTTCTCCTTCACTATCTGTATTTACCAAGGGCATTTATGTTTCCTGGATAACCGTTGACAATATTTTGTGTATCTAGCAGACCATGCAGCAGCCATTCTTCTACCCTACGCTCTCCGCATGAGTTGTTAGTTATGAGAATTCAGACTGAGGATCTTTTTCTTTTCATGAATGCTTTTATAATGGATCATGAGGCTAACAGGAATAAAATGACACTAGGTGTGGCTGTATTGCAGGATTTTAGCTGCTGGACTTGCATGCTGAAATCCTTAGCTATACAGTTTTGGGAGTTTCATACTTTTTATGCATTCCATGCTCTGTGTTGTACTTACAGAACAAGAAAAGAGTTGTATAATTTTCTGCTTTGCTGGTAATAGAAAATTCTCGACTATGCAGAAGTGTGCCCATTCAAAAGCTACCCTTTCCCTCCTTTTGGTTGTGCCAGGATTTGTGTACAGAGAAAATGTCTTCTTTTGTCTTGCATGACAAGGTTCTGAGTGTGATGGTTCTCTGTCTAAGATTGCTTTTGCTCTGAGGCTGCAGATGGACGACAGCAGTGGAGGGTTAGGACTGCACAATCTGATCCACAAAGCTTTTTCTCAGTGCATGCTTCATACCTCTGGTGTGAATTAACTCAATACAATGAAACCCTTGATGTGTTATGTTCTAACCTATAGGGCTTGGGTTATATTCTTAGGTTATTAGCTCTGCAACACTCCAGCTGGAGCGTATGTAATTGTTTCATTCAAATACGGCAGACCTAATTATGCCCTTGTGTCCGGTTAGTTCAGCTGACTTCCTTAAGGCCTGCAAAGATGTGAAGGTGCAACTTGGCCTGGAGAACGTGCAGTTTACTGGTTAATACTGGTGGCAGAGTTGCACATAGAAACCCCTGTTATGCAGCCCCAAGGAAAATATGGTTCATCTCACCAGTTCCTCAAAACTGACAGCCTAAGAAACCAAAGTGAAATTGCTGGGAGAGGTATCCCATATGATAGGTATGCAATGTCATTCATCTCTCTCTGTAGATGGGGATATGAATTAGTAAACTTTTCCATGTAAGTGCATAGAAAGCTGATGGCAAGCAGTCATTAACTGGCCAATGGCTTACAGACATTTCACATAGGGAGACCATGTATATGGCTAGGTCTACATTAACAAGTAGTATGCTCCCGTAGGCACAGATTCATCATCTAGTACAATAGGTAGTGAGGACTCTTGGGTGCACACTGTACACACCTCAGGAGTTTATTTTGGGTTAGTTCCAGTCCTGCCCTGTGTACCAGATTCCCCTTAGCAGGTGGACCGATCTTCTGGTTTAGCTCCAGTTAAAGGAGCACTTGCTGTGCACTTGGAGACTGCAGTGTGAACCAGTGCAAGAGACTTGCATGTGAGTGTGCTCCTGACCCAGGCTGGAGACCTAAATGGACCCTATGGTTGTATATGGGCTGTCTGAGCTGTCACTCACTATTAGTAGTATTTCAGTAATAATCCAGTTCAAACGCATAATGCTTGATTCTCTTGGTTCTCTAACAGGAATATTTTGCTAATAATTTCAGCTTTTGCAGTATGTAGGAGAGACTGTGGAGCTAGGGACACTCGTGGGAGAGAAGTTAAAACTTGGTGTAGAGGAATGGCACTCAGATTAAATGAATGGTTTTTGCAGGTCAGCACTGTATGCAGTCTGTGTGGTGCCTCGACCCAAACTGGTGGCCTCATCCCAAACCATATTGTCCCATGTCATATATTGATTGGAAGTACCTTTCAAATCACTTCCCCATACTTTACTAGTTTTCAGGTTTAGCTTTAGATGATGTATATATGGCTGTATGGCCAAGGAGGAGAGGGAGAGAAGGGTAACAATTAATCTGCTGTTCTTGATACCTGGAAATTCATAGATCTAATCTGTGCAGCCCCATCCTTCAAAATATTTCCTATTACAAACAGTTCAGGATTTGGGGGGGGGG